CCTCCTGCTATGTTGGAAACTCTGGGCATACCAGGAGAACCGACTACCAGCCGTCAAACGCTGCTGCCGAACGTCACGGCGAAGACTTTGACTTCTCCGTCACCTCGAAAGACCTGCAGGGGGCCGTCACCGCTAACGGTACAAGATCCCCCCGCAGCGGAAAAGGTAGACGTGACGACTCAGGTGAGTCAGACAGTCAGCTTTGATAAACTTTGCTTCTATGCTGCTTTCTTAGATTTCGTCTTGCCAGTGAAACACCTGGACGACATTTGAAACGGCTGCTTCCTCGTCAGCGTAAGTAGGGGGCAAGATTCAAATCAATTAACAGCAAATAATGATTTGACAGGTATGGTTTAACAAGGAAACTAGCTACTATCAGCCATATTATTGTTCCAAATCCAATATCAGAGATTTTCACCAACAACATAAAACCAAAATAATTTCCACCGGGTGACGTTCCTGTCAGTGCGAACACAGCCGTGGTTTGTTTATCAGATGGTTCAAGATTGGTTTTTCATTTGGGATTTATTTCAGTGCATACACAGTTAGGGTCCTATGATGAAGAGTTAACACCCCCCCCCCAGAAAGTCTCAAACACTTACTTTGAACTGTTGGTTCAGAATTTCAGGGGAACATTCAACAGATTCCTTGCTTCCGTCTGTCGAGTCTCTTTAACCCCGGACGTGGGAAAACGTGACAGCAGGAAGGGGGGGGGGTTTTAACCTGCCCCCCTGACCCCCCACCAGCCCTCCTCCGCGCTCCACAGGTGAGGTTGTCAACCAGGGGCGGGGCAGGTCCGAACGCTGGGAGGAGGACCACGATTCTCCTTCACAACTCACCAGACACTTCTTGACCCCTCGGCCCGGCGAGCCCCTCTCACGGCCCCATATTTGAAGAAGGTTGATGACACGCGCTTTCCAGAGCGCGGATGTCTCCGAATTGATGCCCTGATTCCTTCTCCTTCTGCCTTGGTGTCGGTTTCTTTTCCTGTGCTAAAGTGCTGCAGGTTTTGATAAATGAGAAGTGGCCATTTAAGCGGCGGAGCAGCGGAGGAGGGAGTAAATGTCAGCCGAGATTTAAAGGCATTCAGCGGGCGCGCTCACGAAATCGCTGCCACTCAGATTTATGAGTTGATGAACTTTTATTTTAAGAGACTCGTGCAAACAGTTTTCAAACCTGCACGTCAGTGAAGTTTACTGCTACAGCTGAATTACACTGGTGTACATCGTCTTCAACAGAAAAGCAGCACAGAGGACCTTCCAAAGCCTCGGGCTGGCAGGCCGCAGGGAGGAGGAGGATAGGATGGAGGAGGGAAGAGCATTGAAGCCATAACCAGTGCCGGCTCGCCTACATTAAGAGGGACCCCCCCCGGTAAACCTCAGGTAACACAACTGGAACAAAACTCTACAAGGAACTGGCAGGTAGGTTTGTAGTCACAGTTAGCCATCAATACTTTTTTACAGACTAATATTTCCAGCCTATAGTTCCTTCTCCAGGTGGCTTCTGCTTGCTGTGAACATGTTCATTTGGTCACTTTAGGGGCCGTAAAGTATCCCCACACCGAACCAAACTGAACATAAAAAAAGCCTTTTTTAAATTTCTCAACCTTCTACCTGAACTATAATATCGTGGACAGATTTGTTTCTTTATCAGTTTCTTTAAAGACAATCAACATTTTTAGGAATAAAAACATTCACAGATCAATAATCACCTGCTGGCTTTTGCTCTTCAGAAGAGAACGGGCGATTTCGCCAGCCAGTCGGAGACACTGAGTCGGAGCCCGTGTGAGGTATGTGAAGAAGATGACAGTGAGGAGAAGAGGAGGGGAGGACGGTAGAGGGAGGGAGACCCAGACCTGTTCCTGCGTATGCTACCTAAGAAGCCCTCCAATAGCCCCAGAGCTTCCGGTCCAAACAGGTGTGGAGGGACAACGATTACTAAAGGCGGCCACGACTGTATGATGTCATTCCTGTGCTTACTACCGCGTTAAAGAACAAACAAATATTTACATCAGTAATTCTTTTTATAAAGAATTGTTCTCCAAAACCTTCTCTCCCTGTTGTTGTAAAAAATTACAGAGAATCACCTCCACAAATGTTTCCATTTATTCACAAAAAAGCAAACACTCTCTACAGAAAGCTAACCGCACGACGAGCTTCCCGAGGGACCTCAAGAGACAGGATCGCCCGGCAGAGGAGAAGAACCAAAACTGTGACCGGAGTGCACCGAGGATAGCCTTCCGTCTACGGCCGCGCCAGCGTGCGAGAGCAGGCGAGTCCAGAACAGGAAAGCTGGGCCCCCCGGCAGAGAGCGGACTGGTGTGAGCTGGTTCGTCTGCGCCGGCGTCTTCTTCGCGTTGGCGCGGCCTTTCGGAGTTTGGGGCCAATTGAAATCACTTTTGGAAGAAAAAGAGTCTGTTTGGGCTCCCTGATTTGCGGAGCCGGCGCCACTTCTCAGTCTTCTGGGTTGCGCCATTTCACCTGGAGGCGCTGAAACGAGAACCCTCGTTAATCAATCTTATAGTCCTTACGTTACATGAAATATCTGCGGATGTCAGTGCGAGTGCACCTAACCTTACTGCAGTGAAACACTCTCCAAAACAGGCGCAATGCTGAAAAGCTCTGCCCTGCTGGAGAATGCGCACGCACACTTGGGGGAGAGGAAGATTGGAAGGAGGAGGAGGAGGGAAACAAAGAGAGAAGAAGGAGGAGTGGAGAGAGAGAAGGGAGAGAGAGAGGAGGAAGAGGAGAGGGAGAGGAGAAGGGAGAGGAGGAGGAGGAGGAATGGGAAGGAAAGGAGTCGGGAGGGAAGGGAGAGGAGGAGGATGGGGGAGGAAGGGGAAGGAAGAGTGAGGAAGGAGAGGACGGAGGGGTGAGAAGACGAGGGAGAGGAAGGGGAGGAGGGGAGAAGGGAGAGAGGAGGAGGGGAGAGAGACGTCAGGAAGGGGAGGAGGAGGAGGGGGAGGAAAGGGAGGAAGGGAGAAGGGACGAGGGATGAAGGAAGAGAGGAGAGGAAGGGATGAGAGGGGGGAGGAAGAGAGGTGGAGGAGGGGAGGAACGGAGGAAGGGAGAGGAAGGGAGGGAAGGGAGGAGGAGGGGAGTGGAGGGGAAGAAGAAGAGAGGAAGGGAGAAGGGAGGAGGGGGAGGTGAGAAGGAGAGGAGGGGGAAGGAGGGGAGAAGGAGAGGAGAGGAAGGAGGAAGGAGAGGATGGGAGGAGGGGAGGAAGGAGGAGAAAGAGAGGGAGGAAAGAGAAGCCGGGGCGGGAGGAGGTGGAGGAAGGGAGGAAGGGGAGGAGGAGGAAAGGAGGAGAGTGTAGGGGAGACTCAAATGAATAGAGAGGGCAGGAGTGTTTCCTCCTGTCTGATATCATTTTTTTTTCCCAAACTACGTTTACATGCACACAATATTTCCTGTTGTTTGCCGCTTATTCCAAAAAAGACGAATATTCCCTACCAGGGCGCCCGGAGTTTAACATAGCATTTTGGGGGCTGGGGTCTCTTAAGGGTTCCCGGCTCTGCTAACAATGGTGGGAATAAATTGGAACGATTAATGCTGGGTATAAACAGGTCCACATGAAAACATCTGGGGGAAACATCACTTCAACTTTACAGCAGGGCAACACGTTTCTGTTATGAGGGTGATTTATTTCTGTTATGAGTTCATTGTGACTTGTGTATCAATGGTTATAATGGTAAAACAGATGAAACTGTTTATGAAATTAAAAAACACCAAATAAATATTTTGCCACAATCACTTGTGGATCTATTGCAGGATGGAGTTTTCTGATGAATACGGAGCATTCTTATTAAACAATTAATACAGTACAAGCTGCTGATTGTGACCACGTACAAATGTTGCGGGGTAAAATAAAATATTTAAAAAATAATGACTTGTATATGGAAGGTCAAAACATTAGATTAAGGTTTCTCTTAGGACATCTGTTTCCTTTTCCCTTCAATTGGAGAAATCAGCCTCCATAACTCTGGTGATATAGGATTTGGATTATAAGGATCCAAACCAGGATATCAGACCAATATGGAGTATTACTCCCATAAACGACCTCCTGGACAGAAAATGTCTAAAAAAACAAAGAAGATGTTTTAACTACAGAAATCTTGGTCAACAGCTGGATTAATATTCCAGAAAACATTTAACTTCAACTGACAGAAAACCTCCTGCGAAAATGATTTCTTTGAAAAGAGCGGGAACTTCCTGAAAGAGGAAAAACCTGGATTTCTGACGAGGAAGGACTTTACCAACTTATATTGAAGTTAATTTCACAAAAGCCAGCACTTTTAACATTAACGCTGACATTATTCAGTATTATTCTACATTTATAAACCAATTATTAACGAAATGAACCAGACTCAATCAGTCAGTCATGATGTTATATATGTTAACGCTTGCGGTCAGCAGTTTGGTCAATAGTTTAAAGGTTCAGTGTGGAGGATTATAAGTAGTAGGGTTTTTCCAGGATTCATTTTCCAGGATATTTTAGTCATTTTAATTTAATTTTCCCAAGGTGAATTAACTAGTCTCTAAATTTCCAGGTTTTTTCCAGGACGGTTATTTCCAACATGCTCTATACATAATGTCTGGACCATCGACGTATATAAAGATATTACGACATGACATGCTTTGTTAAAGTGGACAGCCAGGAACTCCTCTGCTACTCTGCCTCCAGTTAGGCCAGATGCGGACAAACTAAGAAACAGTCAAAGCTGGTTCTTGAAGTCGTTCTTATCTCACTGGGAGGTTTTGTTCAGAGGTGGGCAGGATGTCCATCTATTTATAGGTGGACGGCTTTTTATGGGATTTTCCAGACTACAAATAAAAATAACAACTCTCCCATTTGACTTTATGACCCCTCGGTCTGTTCAGTGGTCATACTGTGAGCTTATTGGGGCGGCCCCTGGATGAAGAAGGAGGAACTCTGTGTGTGGTGGTGGGGTGGTTCATACCTCATACAGGACGGCCTGGTGTTGAATGGGTTGTCCACAGCGGGAGCGGTCGTTACACACCTGAATCAGGGAACGCAGCTTCAAGACGGTACGGAGCTAACAGATCCACACTCCACGCTGAAACTCTTCGCACGCACGCCACACACACACACACACACACAACACACACACACACACACACACACACACACAACATAAACCTTAAACGTTGTGGGGGCGAGCTTCTGTAACCCACTTAGGTGTTAAACAATCTCTCTCTCTCTCTCCTCTCTCTCTTACATGAAGAAGCCCTTCCTGTTTTTCCGGGGCCCGCAATCCATTAAGAGACGATGGCAGGTAAAAATAAATAAAAAAATTGCAACATCTGGGGTCAACTCAACTTTTTTGCACTCCTCTGAATGGCTTAATGAAGGCGGGAGATTAATTCACCGCGGGCGACAGCGTTTATAAACACGTCGCCCTTTGTAACCCATCCACGGAGGAGAGGGGGAGGGAACAAGAACGAGGTGTTTTTTTTAAAAAGGGGGAGATAAATGGTTTTTTTTTTTGCGTGATTTAAAGCGATTTGGGCATTTCGTGCTGAGAAATTCTGCCATCTTTAGCTGTGTATTTCTAATGGATTCTTTTCTGGTAAACAAGCCCAATTAAAAGAGAGTTTGGGTGCCCACCTCATGGAAAACAACAGAGGAGAGTAGGAGAGAGAGAGAGAGAGAGAAGAGAGAGAGAGAGGAGAAGAGAGGAATATGGAAAAATAGCCGACGCGGTACGTCCGCCCCCCTATAACTTGAAGCTAAACCAGACACACAAGACAGGAGTGCATACATGTACAACAACACACCACACACACACACACACAAACACACACACAACACACCACACAGTCCTTGACGTTAATGTGGGATGGAACGGACAAATGTTTGACAATGGAAAGGGGGCAGACTGTGGACATACGTATTTTCGTGGTTGGCACGGTGAGGGAATGCGATCTCAAACATCCCGGAGGTTGTGGCAAGACGCCTGGGAGTCCGGGTTCGCTGCCAGCAGACACAGACAGCTCCTTCCACAACACTAATTAAACCACATGCAAATGAGCCTGCCAAAGACACTGGGGATGGATTTAGGGACTTTCACCACATTCGGATAAAAAAAAAAGAGAGAAAAAAGTCTTTCTGCTGCTTCAGACCGAACGGGTGGAGGGAGACGGCGAGTCTCCTGCAGGGAGGATGATGTTAAAACCTGTGGTGAAATTTTAAATCTGTACTTTATGTTAAAATGAAGCGTAATTGTGTGGGGTTCTTTCCTGAGTGACAATCAGCCTCATCAGAAACCACAGAAAGACCAAAACCAGCAACGAGCTGATCCTGACCTTACTGCATTAGACCTGAACAGCAAAATAAATGATCAGTTTTACCTTCACAGGCTGATCAATTATTAACATTATCATTAT